GCACGCTTAACCATGAAGTTCTTATGGGTTAGGCTACCCGGGTGTCACATGCCCACCAGCTTCCGCTTGGTTTGTCCTCGAACCACACCGTACTGGGAGAGGCTAGGCTCTGATACCACTTGTAACGCCTCGACAACTTACAAGGAATATTGACTACCCCCACACATCAACACGAGGCTTTCCTCGCACACTTTTCAGGAAAACTTCCCAGAAGGTCACCCATCCCTAAATTACTCCAGGCTAAGCACGCTTAATCATGAAGTTCTTGTGAGTTAGGCTACCGAAAAGCAAATGCATTTTGGTGATATGAGTAGTCAAATCAATGCCTTTAAGCTATCCTTCAACTGTATAGTCTCATACCTATACAGTCTCTAAATCCCTCTCATTCCGATGTATGTTTGATTCATTCATGTGTTCNGATGCATTTCATATTTCCCAGTAAAAGATTAGAGATTTTCAGCTTCGCATGGCATTGCTGCTACCACCCGAACAACACACTTGAATATAGTCGTCACCTGAGAATAATTGATGACACAAATCACGATTTCAACATGGATGTGAGTGTATTTGCTAGAAATACTAAAAGTCTTCCTCTTGTAGCTACTGTTGGATATATAATTCAACTTTGCCTTGTGTTGGTAAAACATTCAATGGAGAAGTAAATGTTATTTCCATAAAGAATACTTTTTCATTTTCTTTATATAAAGGCAAAGATGATGATGATTTTGATCTTTATTAAGTTTCTTCTAATTTTCTACCTAGAGAAGAAGACAAGATGCTTATAGATAAGCTGAAAAGTTGGTAAATTTTTCAGCTTCGTGAAGATTCCAATAAATTTCCTATGTTTAAAGAAATCAAGGAAGAAACTTTCACTAATTTGGCATGCAAGATCCTTCACCATAATTAGGCGGCATAAGATGAATGATCGATCTTTGTTTGGGATGGTACTAATTTTGAACCAAATGTCATATGCTCAAATCTAGAAGATGAACTTAAGCATTCACTTCCTTTACAACTGAAACATTTACATTTGCCAAGAGAGATTTTATGTACTTTGTCAACCGTGAGATCTATACTTAGAATAATTTTTAAAAAAGGTGTTCAAAAGAGTCATTTCCACCTTCTAAGCATTGGTAAATGGGTCAAAATTATTAATTTGCGTCTTAAGTTATATGTTGGGCTGTGACATGGTGATTTTATCGTTCAACCAAAGCTTTGATATATACCAAACAAAGATCAGCTCATTATGGAACGCCAAAAGTGGCTGATGAGACCTTGCTTTAATGAATGTCCTCACTCATTCAGGGGTGATATTAAAAACAGTCTCTCATGAATCAACCTTTGACATTCCATAATGATCAGATCATCGTTTGATATATTATCGAAACTTTGTTTGAACATCAAAAACATCATCCCACAGTACAACACTTAACTTAAGACGCAAATTAGAAACTTTGACCCATTTACCAATTCTTAGAAGGTGGAAATGACTCTTCTGAACACCTTTTTCAATAATTATTCAAAGGATAGATCCCACAGTTGGCAAAGTACATAAAATCTCTCTTGGCAAAGGAAAATATTCTAGTTGTAAAGGATGTGGATGCTTAAATTCATCTTCTAGATTTGAACATATGGCATTTGATTGGGTATAAGTACCATCCAAAGCAAAGAACAACCATTCATCATTTGCAGCCTAACTATAGTGAAGGATCTTGCATGCCAAATTAGTGAAAGTTTCGTCCTTGATTTCTTTAAACATTGGAAATTTCCTTAAATCTTCTCGATGTTGAAAGTTGACCATCTATTTTCTTAACGTATCTATAAGCCTCTCTAGGTATCGGGAAACACATAAGGCGAGTGGTTAATGTTGCCATGGAGGGGACCTTATGACTGGTCAGAAGTTGATCTCTGAGATGATCAAAATCGGGATGTAGGGCACGAAGGATGAACACCATGTAAAATTTGTCTAGTTTCATTTTGATATCCTCTAATGGGTCCGCTTCCAAAAACATCCTGAGTTCTTCGACAAAAGATTGGGCTTCATCCATGAAGGAGACCATATCACGGTCTGCCATTTTAAGAGATGCAAACTTGTTTGCATTGTCATAAAGACATTGAATATCGTTGGCATAAATGCTTTAAGCTTTCTTCTAAAAAGAGTGACAAGTTTTGAAAGTTCTCAGAGATATAAGAAGTTTGGGTTCCACTGATTGTCATAACAGGGCAACAACTGGAAATCTACTTGTTTCCACTGATCAACTTTTTCAGTAGGCACATGGCTTCCATCTCGCTCAAGGTGATCATAATGCCATTGGGTAAGGAACCACATTTCAACAACAGCAGACCATGACAGATAATTTTTTCCATATAGCTTCTCGGAGGTAATTGATGGACTTCCGGAGAAGGAAAGAGTACTGTCAGACGCCATCTCTAAAGAAGACGAATCTTACCAGCGAGGAACAAGAAAACCTTAAAGGTTTAGACGAACAGAACCATTGACGGTGGCTGGTGGCGGACGGTGGCCGACGACGGCCAGAGACTGATGGTGGCGGTCAACGATGACGGTGGTAGTCGGCGGCGGACGGTGGTGGGCGACAGCAAAATACGACGCCGGACAGATGCTACAAGACAGAAACCAGAGCAGGATCGCCCGCTTTGATACCCACTTCAGAATTAAACTGTAAAATAATTCTTGAGGGCTTAATTGATCCCTCTCATAATCTTCTATTTGTAAAAATAAATTGATACAAAAATACATGATAAATAAGGTAACCCTAGACACAATATAATCATGATAAATAGGGTAACTCTAGACACAATATAATCATGATAAATAAGGTAACTCTAGACACAATATAATTATGATAAATAGGGTAAATATTCTAACACTCCCCCTCAAGCTCGAGCATACAAATTGTATGTATAAAGCTTGAAATAAATAAACTCACTCCAACAAAATGAACTTGTCTCGAATTTCCAGACAATAGACATGGTAACTTTGGCTTCGAACAAGATGCACATATGCTTTAGACCATCGAGAGAGAATGTCTATAAACCAAATTGAAGTCACAAACCAACATATAACCAAAAAGACACCTCATAAGCTTATGGAGAATAATATTGAACAACCACGAAACTTCAAGTAGCACCATGAACCTTCAAGTAGGATGACTTTGACAAAGTTGATTTCCATCAAAAGTGGATAACGAGTGGTAGATAACGACAAACTGCAAAGACTGGATTTCCATCAAGTATGGATGGGGCTTGCAGTAGCTAAAAGCGACAAACTACAAGGATTAAATTGTCATCACTAACTGATGGGACCTGGAGTGCTGAAACAAACTATAGTGTCAAAACTTCCATCATTGATTGATGGGGTTTGTAGTGGTTGAAACATACTGCAGGGACTAAATTGTCATCATTGACTGATGGGGCCTGTAGTGGTTGAAAGCGACAAACTACAGGTACTAAATTGTCATCATTGATTGATGGGATTTGTACTGGCTGAAACATACTCCCTCTCACGGCAAACAACAAAAATGATGACGCGCTGATGACAAATCATGAAGGTGGAAGATCATAATGGTCTCCATAATGCATCAAAGCATCCAAAAACAAATCTAACAAGGGGATGGTGAAATTGTTTGACTAAGATTCTTAATTTTGCCAGAAATTGACTCCCCCATGTTATGAGCAACCTTCAACCTAATGATTTTAGTGTTGAAACTCCTTGGTGTTAGCTAGACTTGTAAATAAATGATACAAGTCATCAAGAACATCACACTGCTACAATACGCAAAGCTAAACAAATATTATGAAAGGAGGCTAAGAAACAATGCTGAAACAGAGGTATAATGACGCAGTGTGATTCCAACACCGAAAAGGTGGCATGTGACAAACACACGCCAAAAGCTTATCGGAGAGAAGTCGCACGCTTAACCATGAAGTTCTTATGGGTTAGGCTACCCGGGTGTCACATGCCCACCAGCTTCCGCTTGGTTTGTCCTCGAACCACACCGTACTGGGAGAGGCTAGGCTCTGATACCACTTGTAACGCCTCGACAACTTACAAGGAATATTGACTACCCCCACACATCAACACGAGGCTTTCCTCGCACACTTTTCAGGAAAACTTCCCAGAAGGTCACCCATCCCTAAATTACTCCAGGCTAAGCACGCTTAATCATGAAGTTCTTGTGAGTTAGGCTACCGAAAAGCAAATGCATTTTGGTGATATGAGTAGTCAAATCAATGCCTTTAAGCTATCCTTCAACTGTATAGTCTCATACCTATACAGTCTCTAAATCCCTCTCATTCCGATGTATGTTTGATTCATTCATGTGTTCCTTCCACTGAAAGCCTGCCAGGAGCCGCTCTTTGTTTGTGCCCATTGCACTTCGTGTCTCTTGCACCGGCGATCACTCCCCGCCCTCATCAATGCCCGGGTGTCACAGACAACTCCTCACTATGGCAAAACAGTGTTAGGTGGACAATGACAAATGGCACCAGACAACGACAAACGATGCCAGACAATTGCGGACAACAACTAAGATTTGAAAACTAGACAAAAATCATAATAGAACTGTTCATTGGGGTATTTCAGAAAAGATGAAATTTTTAAGGTCACCGATGGCCGCAACCACTAGCCACCAGCGGCAACAAAGATAGAGTAGGAAGAGACTCAAAGACCCTGCTCTAATACCAAATTGGAAAGCCAGTTTTGTGAAATTGAGTTAGGCTTAAACCCACTTTCTAATAACACTAAAGGATTAAACTACTAGAATCCATGCTTATATAATTAAAGAAAATGTGGTGACCATTTTTATGGTAATCCTCGAGTTGAAAATTTGAGTAGGAAGCTCAATAGGTTACTTAGAGTGTCTAAAGGTAATGGTTGCATTTGTGAGATTAAGTTAGGCTTAAAATTCACTTCTTAATTTCGTATCAAAGTAAGTTAAATCTCAAGGAGAAAGCAAAAAATGCAAAACAAAGATATTACATTGAAGTAAATGCTAAAATGTAATTTCCTCCTTCACAACAAATAATATCGTTAGATTACAATTTAGAAAGCACACGCATGCACTCATTTCAAACAATCTAATGAAATCTAAAAGAACGTGGCACAACATATATCCTACATCTATCGGCTAAAACTATGAGAAAAAGCAATATCAGTTATGCGTCATGAGAACAGAACCATGAAAGCCTAACAAACAGATTTTCTATGACTATGTGAAGAATTTCATAAGTCAACCAACCTTGATTTCTCATCCCACACTAAGACTTTTGTGGAGTTAATTGTCAGCATCAGTCAAGCACGAGTGAGTCTACATGGGATTTGATTTGACTCTTGAGAGCACCAAATACTTGGAAAGGAATATGTTTAGCTAGCAACTTCAGCATCTGCATAGCTCGTGTTAGGCTCTTCTTCTTCTTCTTCAGGGAAAGGAGCCTCATCATCAGAAGGTTGTCCATTGCCAAAGATGCTGTCCATTTGAAAAGCTGCTGGTGTCAAGATTGGCTTTGCTCCACCAAGATCAATTCTTATATCATCTGCAGAAGTAGGGCTCACATGTATAGGGCTGGCATGTATAGGTGCAGTCATTGGAACATGCTCCACCCTTGGCTTTTTCGGTTTCTGTTCCAGCTGGTGACCAGGAACAAAACTAGCCACAACAACCTGATGCAGAAGATAGCAAGACAAGTGTTGAGAAAACTATATCTCATATATGTAGTTTAGTTCTTTTCATTGCATGATTTTTCTTTCAGGGATTGGTAGAAGATAGCATAAAGAAAGTCCATCATAACTCTTTGTTGGGTCTAGCCTACAATGTTTGTGACGAGAGTGATTTGGACAGACATCATTTAGACTGATATAGTCTTTTTTTATGTTTCATTTCTATATACTTTGAACTAATAAAAAGTCACTGCTGTGATTAAGGTAATTATCATAAAAATCAACAAAGTTATCATATTTGACAATTTTTTATTAGATGACTATGTAAAAACTTCTTATTGTGTCATGCGCAGTCTGTTTACACTTATTTCATATTTAATAAACCCTGGTAAACAAACTTATAAGGTTATTTCTTCATCATTTTTAAATTCTCAAATATCCTCTTCTTCAGCAGAAATTACCTGCACAGGACCGGCAGCTACCAGCAAACCGGCCAGTCCACCCCCCATTACTCGACCATCTGGACCGGCCAAGGAGATGCTCATTCCACCAGATCTGCTCTTTGTAAACCCATTCTCAGTTGGCATATATGAACCAGTCAAGGAAAGAATTTCAAAGCGCCCCTAGAAGCACCAAATATGTTCCAGCAAATTATTAAGTATTTACCCAGTACTTAACCAAGTACAACAAAAAGAAAGAAACAGTAGCAACACGCTTTTGGACATTCTCTTCCAAACACTGGCCTGGATAAAATCTCATGCTAGACTCAAAATCACTTGGGTCCACAATTAGTGGAATCAATTTGGGATTTTTAATCAGTGTAAATGAGTGTTAATGGCATTTTTCAATATATAATAGTGTATCAAAGACAAGTGAAGTTAAACTGAATTACAATAAGAAAAATGAAGACTTCATCATAGCCAGATCAAATTTCAGATTACCTATATGAACCAAGTCTTATCTGTGAAAATAAGTCTGTTTGGACAAGATTCTTTATAAGTACTTCTAAGAGAGAAAATAAAATAAAAAATGAAATGAGTTTTCTATAAAAATGTATAAATATTCTATATGAAAGAAGTCTAATAAATTAGTGTATGCATAAACTTTCTTTTCTCTCTCGTCTATTTTATTGCTTTGCTCGTAACAATTTTAACTAGTGGAGAAGCTAATTTCACCTTTTTTTCCTCATTTTTCTCCCTTAGAAATGATTATGAAAAAGTTTGTCCGAATAGGTCCAAAATAGTTATTCTTCTAATGAATTTTTGCATGCAGGAAGACGTGAATGGTCATAAAGAACAGAACAAGTTATAAGACAAATTTATATTATGCCAAAACAAGGGGCAAACATGGAAAGTGTGAAAAACTAAGCAGCATTAAAGATACTGTATACTATTAAAGAAGAACAATAGGGTGATTTTCATTGTCAGTATTGAACCAAAAATTTACAAATATAAGAAACAAAACAAGCATGCTTAGATCTAGAATTTGTGGATAAGAAGCAACATTTTACCAATTCTTCTATGTGTCTGAATCAAAGGCTTAACGCATAATAATCAACTTTAATATCATTATTAANCTTCGTGTCTCTTGCACCGGCGATCACTCCCCGCCCTCATCAATGCCCGGGTGTCACAGACAACTCCTCACTATGGCAAAACAGTGTTAGGTGGACAATGACAAATGGCACCAGACAACGACAAACGATGCCAGACAATTGCGGACAACAACTAAGATTTGAAAACTAGACAAAAATCATAATAGAACTGTTCATTGGGGTATTTCAGAAAAGATGAAATTTTTAAGGTCACCGATGGCCGCAACCACTAGCCACCAGCGGCAACAAAGATAGAGTAGGAAGAGACTCAAAGACCCTGCTCTAATACCAAATTGGAAAGCCAGTTTTGTGAAATTGAGTTAGGCTTAAACCCACTTTCTAATAACACTAAAGGATTAAACTACTAGAATCCATGCTTATATAATTAAAGAAAATGTGGTGACCATTTTTATGGTAATCCTCGAGTTAAAAATTTGAGTAGGAAGCTCAATAGGTTACTTAGAGTGTCTAAAGGTAATGGTTGCATTTGTGAGATTAAGTTAGGCTTAAAATTCACTTCTTAATTTCGTATCAAAGTAAGTTAAATCTCAAGGAGAAAGCAAAAAATGAAAAACAAAGATATTACATTGAAGTAAATGCTAAAATGTAATTTCCTCCTTCACAACAAATAATATCGTTAGATTACAATTTAGAAAGCACACGCATGCACTCATTTCAAACAATCTAATGAAATCTAAAAGAACGTGGCACAACATATATCCTACATCTATCGGCTAAAACTATGAGAAAAAGCAATATCAGTTATGCGTCATGAGAACAGAACCATGAAAGCCTAACAAACAGATTTTCTATGACTATGTGAAGAATTTCATAAGTCAACCAACCTTGATTTCTCATCCCACACTAAGACTTTTGTGGAGTTAATTGTCAGCATCAGTCAAGCACGAGTGAGTCTACATGGGATTTGATTTGACTCTTGAGAGCACCAAATACTTGGAAAGGAATATGTTTAGCTAGCAACTTCAGCATCTGCATAGCTCGTGTTAGGCTCTTCTTCTTCTTCTTCAGGGAAAGGAGCCTCATCATCAGAAGGTTGTCCATTGCCAAAGATGCTGTCCATTTGAAAAGCTGCTGGTGTCAAGATTGGCTTTGCTCCACCAAGATCAATTCTTATATCATCTGCAGAAGTAGGGCTCACATGTATAGGGCTGGCATGTATAGGTGCAGTCATTGGAACATGCTCCACCCTTGGCTTTTTCGGTTTCTGTTCCAGCTGGTGACCAGGAACAAAACTAGCCACAACAACCTGATGCAGAAGATAGCAAGACAAGTGTTGAGAAAACTATATCTCATATATGTAGTTTAGTTCTTTTCATTGCATGATTTTTCTTTCAGGGATTGGTAGAAAATAGCATAAAGAAAGTCCATCATAACTCTTTGTTGGGTCTAGCCTACAATGTTTGTGACGAGAGTGATTTGGACAGACATCATTTAGACTGATATAGTCTTTTTTTATGTTTCATTTCTATATACTTTGAACTAATAAAAAGTCACTGCTGTGATTAAGGTAATTATCATAAAAATCAACAAAGTTATCATATTTGACAATTTTTTATTAGATGACTATGTAAAAACTTCTTATTGTGTCATGCACAGTCTGTTTACACTTATTTCATATTTAATAAACCCTGGTAAACAAACTTATAAGGTTATTTCTTCATCATTTTTAAAATCTCAAATATCCTCTTCTTCAGCAGAAATTACCTGCACAGGACCGGCAGCTACCAGCAAACCGGCCAGTCCACCCCCCATTACTCGACCATCTGGACCGGCCAAGGAGATGCTCATTCCACCAGATCTGCTCTTTGTAAACCCATTCTCAGTTGGCATATATGAACCAGTCAAGGAAAGAATTTCAAAGCGCCCCTAGAAGCACCAAATATGTTCCAGCAAATTATTAAGTATTTACCCAGTACTTAACCAAGTACAACAAAAAGAAAGAAACAGTAGCAACACGCTTTTGGACATTCTCTTCCAAACACTGGCCTGGATAAAATCTCATGCTAGACTCAAAATCACTTGGGTCCACAATTAGTGGAATCAATTTGGGATTTTTAATCAGTGTAAATGAGTGTTAATGGCATTTTTCAATATATAATAGTGTATCAAAGACAAGTGAAGTTAAACTGAATTACAATAAGAAAAATGAAGACTTCATCATAGCCAGATCAAATTTCAGATTACCTATATGAACCAAGTCTTATCTGTGAAAATAAGTCTGTTTGGACAAGATTCTTTATAAGTACTTCTAAGAGAGAAAATAAAATAAAAAATGAAATGAGTTTTCTATAAAAATGTATAAATATTCTATATGAAAGAAGTCTAATAAATTAGTGTATGCATAAACTTTCTTTTCTCTCTCGTCTATTTTATTGCTTTGCTCGTAACAATTTTAACTAGTGGAGAAGCTAATTTCACCTTTTTTTCCTCATTTTTCTCCCTTAGAAATGATTATGAAAAAGTTTGTCCGAATAGGTCCAAAATAGTTATTCTTCTAATGAATTTTTGCATGCAGGAAGACGTGAATGGTCATAAAGAACAGAACAAGTTATAAGACAAATTTATATTATGCCAAAACAAGGGGCAAACATGGAAAGTGTGAAAAACTAAGCAGCATTAAAGATACTGTATACTATTAAAGAAGAACAATAGGGTGATTTTCATTGTCAGTATTGAACCAAAAATTTACAAATATAAGAAACAAAACAAGCATGCTTAGATCTAGAATTTGTGGATAAGAAGCAACATTTTACCAATTCTTCTATGTGTCTGAATCAAAGGCTTAACGCATAATAATCAACTTTAATATCATTATTAACTGATAACATTTTAGTGAAGTAACAACATCTGCTGATACAAATATTGCAAGAAACCAAATCATACGACGAAGCCAAATATTAGGATGGATTCTTTGCCAATTGCCAAAATCAAATTTAACAACACATGATTTACTAACCCCCACCTCCCTCTGCAAATAAACTGACATTGGATATTTAAACTTAAAACCCTTTAGAGATGTGGCTGCATATGACTCAAGAACATTAGGGTATTATATATTAGCACTGAACTAACCTCATATGTTAAAGTACCACCAGAAGAAGTTGGTTGGCGTAGTGTAACATTTGAAATTGTGCCATTTGCAGACAGAATGCAAATAGCTTGAAATCCTTGTTGAGAGAAGGACATAATCTTCATAGTAACATCCTGAAACAGGGCACAAGAACTCTCACAAATACATTCACAAATAAGCTTACTTCCTTCTTTCTCCTCCTCCAAACTAAAATGGATTTCAAAAAGGCTAATTTCATACTTTCTTCAGTTTCTAAGAACCACTAATTCCTATGTTAGTTCCCACGGTAGCATATAATCACAACCTTGAGTTGGTAAAGCATTAACTTGAATCCTTGTTAACATATTGTTCATACCCAGCTCAACTCTAGTTACGCCATCTTGGAACACTCAACCCCTTGTTGTTTCAAATAAGTTTCTACAAATAAAATTAAGTAACCAAGCAGTAATATGGTTAAATTATTTATTGTTTCACATAATATTAATATGATATCCTACCCATACACGCATAATCAAACAAATATCTTTATGTATTTAATTATATACACAGATATCATTTTATTAAAGCATTGAAGAGAGTGAAACTGCACCAATTGAAGAAAGAAAAACATTATATGGTAAAAGGAAATAAGAATTTTAAGTGGTAAGATGCTATAACATTTAAAAGAAATTTATGGAATTTCAACACAGACAAATATAATCTGACTATTTTCAAAAGATAAACTTTAGAGGAAATGAACAGAATACCTCGCCAGCATTTACTATAAGGATGTGAGGTGTGAAATTGGCACCAACTGAGTATGCAATTTGATCACCTATAAAATAAATATGTAGCAAGATTAATGGGTACACAAAAGAGAATGTAAAGCTCAATGCGGAAGCTACTGTTCACACAAAAAATCCACTTTGATTTCATTATGTAAAAGCAAATAGAATAAAAAAGGGTCAGAGATAGTTTATTAGATTGTCTTTCAATCTGACATCATATATGTCCAGGAAAATAAGCTATATTGACCAATAGATAGTTTTCAAAAGAATACAACAATGAAAGATGTTTTAACATTGAAAGTTGCATTCCTCTGAATCATACCCTAAGTTACCTATGTGTTTGTGAAAGGATCAATTATAAAGTAGAAAAAGTCTAAATATTCATGCAATTTAAAAACTAATTGACATTTCATAACAGCACTTTGTTTTTATCGACAATGTGCTACTTATGTAAATATCTATCAATATGTTACATACTTACAAATGTCCAACACATTTGATCTAGCTTTTGGGAAGCTACAAGAGGTTCCAAAAGCTAAAACTAGCATGATATGCATTATCATCATGATAAACTTATGTGGACGATGTCGGAATGACAGTAAACAGAGGTTGATGGTGACAAACTTATGTGGACAACTCCTCGTAATGGAAAAATAGTGCCAAGTGGACAACGACAAACGACGCCAGGCAACGACAAACGACACCAGACAACGGCAAACAGTGCCAGATGATTGCGGACAGCAACTAGGGTTTGGAGACTAGATAGAAACCAGAACATGAATGCTCATTGAGGTATTTAAGAAAATATGAAATTTTTAAGGCCGCCGGTGGCGGCGCTGGCCACCGGCGGCAACAAAGACAGAGTAGGAAGAGACTTAGACAACCTGCTCTGATACCAACATGAGATTGAAACTGTAAAATAATTCTTAAGGGCTTAATTGATCCCTCTCATAATCTTCTATTTATAAAAATAAATTGATACAAGAATACATGATAAATAGGGTAACTCTAGACACAATATAATCATGACAAATAGGGTAACTCTAGACACAATATAAACATGATAATTAGGGTAAATAGAACATTCAGAGGCCCACAGCTAAGTCTAAAAATAAGTTATGAACCTGGAATATCTCCAGATATAAAATTAAGCTTGTTAAATCCGGAGCTAAATATTAAAATGTTTATGTAGCATATGCATGGACTACATATTAAATATAACATTCACATCGATTCTATGTACAACCTCTTAATGATTTGTGGAAACGTATCGTATACAATTGAGACTTACTATATTTGAATTATAACCATCAATTTATGCAGCCACCAATAACATGTTGATTGGAAAAATTAATCTTAAAACGTGCTACAACGTTTTCCAGCCTACTGTCCTATATCCACTACCATTGTTTCAAAGATGCAACTTCAAGAATCATCGGTCATATTATTAAATTTTAGGTTCCTATTTTGCAACATGTCATGGTCCAAAGTCCAAACCAGTAGTATATAGGCTATAGACCATTGCAAGCCTTGTCAAATCAGCTAAGTATTGGACTAAACCTATTGAATATACTGGTGTGGTGCCCTTCAGTTATTCCAACTCAGTTTCTGTGGTCGGATTATGCCACCTTCCCCTCGTAAAGAAAAAAGAAGAATCATATGCTGCCTTAGCTGAAAACTGACTTCACTTCACTTTGACCACAAAATATCCCCTTCAACCACCACACATCTTCAATTCCAGATCTAAAGGGAATCTAATACAAGGGTCCACTTGTACCACCATATACAAAATCCACTTCAAAGACATTAATAAAATTCATGAAACAAAAACAAGCATTGAAAACCAAACTTAAATCAACTACAACTCAAAAAATATAAATCCATTTTACATAGTAAATAACAACCCTACTAAATATGAAAGGGGAAAATAAGAATATACTGCTAATGCAACAGTAAAACATAAAAACAAAGAGTAACTATTATAAGATTAAACTCTAAAAATGTACGAATCAATGAGCAATACTTTTTACCTTGTCCTGCACCTTGACCTTCAACTTCATAAAACTTAAAAGACTTCTTGATTGATTCAACTGGCTTTCCTCTGCCCTTTTTCCAGACTGAGAAGTCTCCGGTCAATGGAATCGACGATGATATCGGCATCGGCGACAGCGCCACATTGCCGTCCGGTCCATATTTCCTAGGCCGGCCCCTCTTCTTCTTCCCTTCTGTACTACCGGAAGTAATCACCGGAGCACTCACCGGTGCCGGCGAATCCCCCGTGGGCCCAGAAAACTGCACGGATCTTAGTGCCACGTGGAAGCTCTGGGGGGGCTCGACAACCTTAACAGCCTGCCCAGAACTAAAAATCTCTTTTTCCTCCATTTTTTTTTCGAATCAAAGAAAAACAAAGACACCCCAAAACCTTAAAACACGCTTAAACCCTATCCATTGAAGATTCAAGGAATTACAAATTCAAAAAAAAGGAAAAATGAATTTTTTTCAACTCAAAGAAGACAAATGTACTTGAATGCAGAACAAACGTACCCAAAAACAGTACACTGACGTTTGAGCACAGAAAAAGTTGCAATCGCACATAAAAACTTCAAAAATAGAAACTTCTGTCTGAAATGACGAAACCCAGAAGCATAATTTTGAACGGTTGAGGTTGAACACCGAGAAAGACGCGATACTGTGGCTCAAATCTCCACCATTGCAGAGAGCGGTAAAAGCTTCAAAAAATAGCAAATTTTTTTAAAAATAAATTCTACAATTACAGAGAAAATAACAAATCTAGTTTACAAATCCGCCAGAGTGATGTCTGAAATTAGGGTTTTGCAGGAAAAGGAGGAGTAAATAAATAAAGTTGAAAATGGGAAAATATAATAAAATGTAAAATGATAAAGTAATAAAGTAATTAAATAACTGGGAATTTAATTAATAATTAATATTTTAATTGCAAAATTCAAAGTATGAATTTTGGTTAAGAAATTGGTTCACGTCCGTCTTGGAAATTTAATAAAGGTAATTTAATAAATGACTGGGAATACAGATACTTATCAATTTGAATGCATAAAAAAATAGGTGATGTTTATGGAAAAGAAAAAAGAAACTTTTAATAAGATATTGCAATTTATTTATTTACTGCTTTTTTAAAACAAAAGAAAAAAATTAGTAGAAGCTGTAAGCAAAGGCTGGATGGAGCCATTCCATTGCTCCAACTACTGACAAGTTCTTTGTCTTTTATTTTAAGTTAAAATAAAGTTGACCAAGACACATAAACAGATGTTTTCTCAAACAAAAAGAAAAATGATTTGAAATACTCCATTGGTTTGGTGAATCTACTCTAAGATGTGCCACTGGATTGCATTATTCTTTTACCTTTTGTTCTCTCTTTCTTCTCTTTCTCCCCTCTTTCACAGCTTGAGTTGACTAAAAGGGCCATTTCAAAAACCTTTTCTTCTTAGAGAAGAAAAAGGAAAACAAAATTACACAAAAAAACACTTGTAGACAGAATGGGCTACCAAATACTAATACTATGGTCCTGCATCTACAATTCTGATATAAATATAGGGTATCCATAAACAGATATTATATTTAAGCCTGGATACTGTGCTATTTTCTGTGTAGCAGCAACTTCCCAAACATAGAAGATATATTTAATGAACATTAAAGAAAGTAAACTAATAGGGCAAATGTTTCACAGTTTCTTATTGGTATTAATTCTTTTTGGTTTTGTGCTAGGTGTTGACTCCACACAATAAGCTGTAGACAGTTGTCAGCACTCGAAGCCACATAGCATATATATATATATATATATATAGAATTTTCTCTTATCCTAATTAAAAAAGTTGACTTTATCAGATTTCGTGATTAAGGTGAATGAGATCTCCCACGCATATCTCAGATTTTGTAGTTATCTTCATTTAACTTTGTGTTCTTTATTTAAAGTGGATTTCATCAAATCAGCAAGAAGAGTACATCTGGGAACATAAGGGCAGGTTTTGGTTGAGATGAAACAGTTATCTGTGAAAAAAGAAAATCAGATTAGATTGCAAAATTTATCATTAGTATGTACTTTCCACAACACAGGCCAAGCCCCCTTCTTAAGACTATGTACATAATCGGGAAGCCACATTTGACTTGAGATTATCATTTACAGGTAATTACAATAACAGTGTAATAATATGTAATCTGGAAAACCAAACAAACCAACCGAGCCTTCTTTCCTCAAAGGAGTATTCGGTCTCTTCTCAATAAGGAACTGCGGCAGGGGTTGGAGTCATGGACGTATTCATAGGAGTTCTATTTTCTTCATCCACCACTGTGGTTGTCTTTGATGTAGTAGTGATGGATGGAAAATTGCTAACTACTAATGTGTTCGGCAACTTCTTGTTCTGTATATCGTCTACAGCATTTGCATCATTAGCTTTCGATGATACCGTTAAAGAGATGGGAGAAAAAGGTTGGCGTGTAGAAGGAGATTCCATTTCACGAACACTTACAGCACCAGTAGAGAATTTTTTCATAGGAACACCAGCAGTATCAAGTCCTCTTCTAGCTATAACATAAGAACAACAAAATGAGTGGTGAGTTCTAAATGCATGAATGTCACACAGAAAATCGTTAAGTATGTACGTATGTTTTTTCTGCAGATTATATGAAACACAAACAGCAAAGGAATGCTCAATAATACCAGCTAGAAATTATGAGAAAATCAACCAGCTGAGATGTGGCTTTGGCCTCCACCTTCAACATATTCCTTGGTGCCACATACAGCCTTTACCAAAAAGCCATCGTCATCAATAGTACTTCGGGGAATCCGATGGAGAATCTTCTTCTAAAACCAAAGGAAACATAAGCAGGTATCCAACAATCTATTGTTGCATTTTAGATGGCAAGTAGGCATGTTAACTAAATTGATGGAGGCTTTCATTTTGAGAAGAAAATTAAAAGAATGAAAAATGGTACGTCATGTTTTTTCCTTTCAACCAAACAGGAAGCAAACCCTTACAGTGAGAAATCTGCAAGCCATGATGCATGAAACACTGGAGGGGCCGAGTATAAGAGAAGTTAACTACCTGATGATAAATATGAAACATCATCATCCAGATTATTTAGTCGATCATTTTGGTGGGCTTTATCTGTCCTCTTTATGAAGGATGACTGTGACTGATAAGGTTTCGAATCAGATTTTGGTGTCTGACATCCAAGGGAGATTTTTCTACATGCTGCGCTTCCAGCTCTAGGTGTCTTTTTTGCACTCTGGGCCTTTGAAGGGCTTACCTTTGACCCATAGAGTACTTCCTTTTCCGCTGTCATTTGTCCCTGAAGTTTCTTCAGTTCCTGAAACAGATACATAAGAATAAAATTAGTTTGAGACACTTTTACACTCATTTGATACATGTATTCCAACTCTCCCATTAATAAAAACAGTGTCAAATGAGTGTGTAGGTTGTGAAGAAAAATAAAGACAAACCATAAAATGTTGCCAGGATTTTAAACTCAGACAAAAATCAGGGTGTTTTTTTATAACTACAGAACTTATATTAAAGAATCTTAAATGCAACAAGTGGTCCATATACCCGCTGCCTACGACGTTCTTGCTCCTTCTCTTGCCGTGATAGCGAGTAGTTCTCAAGCATAGAGATCAGACAGGTCTAGAAAGTCACGTACAACAAAAATTAGTTTGAAATAATAGACTTGCTGAACAACAAGACACGAAGATGACCTCCGATGATTTCTAAGGTGAGGGTACTTACACCATCATATGTGAACTCAATGCCTTTGTCTTTTTCCCATGCTATAGTTTTTGAAGTTAAAGCCTCTACCATTGCTGCATGCAAACAAAAGGAAATGAAAAAGACATTATGCATAAAACAAACATCAAGGCATGGAAAAGTAAAGTTGTGTTTCTATTCAGTATCCTTAAGATGGTCAAAGGTCCAATAGCAAAGCAACATGGCTGACAAAGAAGCAATCAAGATCTAATACCTGGTAGTTTGCTGACCAAGGCACGGGCTTTCTCCGCTCGCTTGAGAGTAAGATGAGAACCTTTCCCAGCATTGTATCGATTTTCATCCTGGAAGAAACAAGATGACAATAAAATTAACAAATTGTTAAGTGTGATAGATATGGGAAGGGGAATCCGTGTACACCATTTAGGAGCCATTTATTTGTGCTTTTTAGAGATCTTATATGAAGTTTTTTTTATTGCAATTATAAAAAGTTCTTTTATTTGAAAGATAGTTATAATCATAGCTTTTTTCACAAGCTACTCACAAAATAATCAGAAATCTTTTGAAAACCTTAAACCTAAACATTCCAAAAAGAAAAAGTAATTTTTAAAAAAAATCATTGAAAAAAAAAAGATGAAAAACTTTCTTTTTATGAACATCGAACTATTATCCATCCAACAGTCCAAATTACCACTCAATATTAATACCAACAGAGATGGTGAAAGTAAAAAAAACAAACCATGTTGTACTCCTCAAGCCAAGATTCTTCTTCACGTGCTGCTAACCATTTCTCAACTTTTTCAAGTATTTCTTTTCTGACAAAAGCTTCCTCTTTTGCAGAGGCAATCTGAAGTTCAAGCTGTTCAAGCACACAAGCTGGGTCTACCACTCCTGATAAAGAAAGGAAGATGCAGACTTTAGTTTGCTGAGGAAACAATTGCGCTCATTCAGATGTTTCTCATACAGAACTTACCAGATTCTATCGCTTCAACAGCTTGTTCCACTGCACTATCAATTTTTGGAATCAAATGAGTCTTATGACAAATCTCCTCTAGCTCTGCTCTTTTCCTCAAAACAAGCTCTTTCATTTTGCTTGATTTTAACTCTTCCAACCTGGATACTTCTGCCTCGACCTGCATGAAAATATTACTTCTACAGGAAATCTGAACCGCACAGATCAAGAAAACCAGTCCTTATTTATCCAGTAACTATAACTCACATAGTTGATGAAGTTCTCAGACAAGCTGTTTGGTTCAGTTACTTCATCTTCTGAAGCAGCGATATTACAAGTAACATTCTGAAACATCTGTTGCTCTTCAACAGGCGTATCCATCAAATTCCAGAGCTCCAACATTGTTGAAGCTAGATCTTGAAGCTGCCAGACAATAATCAAGTTAATTATCAACCAGAGAAAATAACATCAAATTATAAACACAAAGTAATGTTTCATATCAAAATTAGATCAACAAACTGCCAGTATTTACCCTTTGCATTCTCTGCAGTTTAACTTTTCGCAATTCTTGTATGGCAATAGCCAATTGATTTATGGTTTCACTATTGACACTCCTAGGACCTTCTGAAATTCCTAAGCTAGGATGGACTCCACTGACTGTCTGCTTGAAGTCCAAACCAAGCACTGAACAGAGAGAATTCAAGGTACATATTTGGTCTTGAACCTTCTTGAGGCGTTCACTCTGCACGAAAAATAACAAAGAAAAATATGTGATTGTTCAAATTGGTCTATCTTCACACACAAACACACACACACAAATACAACCCAGATAGAGATAAACTATAAGTATATTATTGACCTTCTCTTTCTGAAGTGCAAGGAGCTCTCTGTGTAATTCTTCAAGCTTTCTCAATGACAAATCAGTTTCATCTACAACAGCAGTAATATATTCTCCTGTACTACAAATCTCATTTGAGATACTTTGAATCTGTTCTTGAACTTCTATAAATTGATTTCTACGCTCAAACTTCCTTTTCCGCATTTCCTCCAGCTCTGGGTGAACTCTTGCCAGCTCTTCCTTTAAGCTTCCAGCATTTTTGTCAAACTAGAAAAATATGAAAGACAAGAACGAACCAATCTTCTTCTTAGTAGATCAACTGGATAACGAAATAACCTTAACTGTTAAGGTCATGAATATAACATCCAAGAAAACTATACAAAAACAAATTGTCATGAGTGATTCATGTCAGGTATAGTGACAAGTCTTACGTAGGCTACTAAGGACCCAAAATAAATTCTTCCTGCTTTACCTGGGCTTGGAAGTTGGAACTACTAAGAAAACTACAAGGTACGTTAATTTTAACGAGAATCCTAGGACCCCTCTCAACTAAACAGCTACGTTTGGCAAATAGTTACTCATTGACAACAATTTAGATATAAATTTGTACAAGAGCTTTTATTGGTAACCAACAAACTTCATTAATACATCTTATGCAATCACTTCAAAAAAAATTCAACACTACATGCAGTTTCATTTTCCTTAAGTTCTTCTCTCCACTTTATTTAACCAATACACATACAAGCCCTAAAATAAAATTAAAAAAATTGGTGATTCATAAAATCCAACCTGTCTAAAATGCACAGGTCGCTCTCCCATTGTTGAGCAGATACATGCAAGCTCTGCCTCGGAATCAGCAATCTCCTGCCTTAGTTGAGCTCTAGACCGATTAGCTTTATCTACCTTTCTTCTATATACTTCTACACACTCTTCTTCAAGCTCATACAACATTCTATCTTTTTCAGTCTCAGACTCCCCGACTTCATTCCATATTATCTATTGTGAAAAATTAGCCAAGACAAACAATAGGAGTTCTTCAGTTTTCCACACATTATTTTATTTGGCCAGTGGGGCAGAGGGAGCATTACAGATAAGTTGCAGCAAAATTTAATGTATACCTGAAGTTCGTTAAGAAGAGATTCACATGTTGTATTGGATTGTAAAAGAAGACCCTTTTGATGTCTAGCCATTTTGGATCACTTGTATCTACCGACAGCGAAAAAACTGTAAAAACCATTGTTCCCCAAAAGGCCAAAAGAACATAAACTTGAGAAACAATCATTCCAAATTCATGTGTCATGAAAGTAGAAATTAAGAATACTTGTAACAGACTTAAAATCCATGGTCAATCTTTCAAAACAAGTCACGATCAAAGATCAAGTTTCAATATAGAATTGTCACTTTAAATGACAGCATGCCCATATTGTGGTGAGATTCTCACTGGAAAAAAAAACACACTATTGTTGCTACAAGAAACATTAAAGATTTTAGTTTATGTCAAAAAAGCCTACCGCCAATGAATAAAGGTTAGCCATTGGGGGCCCATCTGGTCAAGGCTCAACTATATGGTAAATCAGTGAAACAATGACACAATGCACGAGTTGCTAAATATCAAATTCCCATACTTAATTCATCTACTGTCTCTTTACTAAACAATTATCCCTCTTAAACATTAAACCCACACCATTATCTTAGAATTAGGCCTCCAAGGCTTGGAACAAACCACAATAATAGATAAATTAAAAATGCCACGTTACTGCCAGTGCATCCGAATACGTTTGTTGCTGAAAAATTAATTATTGACGATATGGTTCCATTCCATCATTTTACCACGTAACTCAAGTGTTGGACCTATAATATGTAACATCATTTTAATGAATCCAACATCCCCAGAGAAAAAAAATATATAATCAAACACGATTGATTGAACCCCAGAGATTCAATCAAAACTGAGCATAAAATGTTTCAAAGCAGGCACGTAGCTTTCTGCTACTAACATTATTTATTAGCGAAAATATTGTAACCAAATGCACAATTGTCCAGAAAAGAATGTCATAGCACATACGCTAAACAGATTAAACAGGAAAGCTGTGGTGTCAATAACCTAGGATGTGAAGGACACAGATCTTCAAAGTAAGATACTAAATTTAGGTTGATGTTTTTTTTTCTTGATTGGTGAAACCCAGATTAGAAACTTTATCGTTACACCTTCCTCACGAACAGAATATGCTTTTGAGGGATCCCAGAAAAGCAAAAATGAGAGCTTTACTAATATTATAGTAAAGGATCTTAATCTTCACCTGTGATTGAAAGGGATTGGTGAATTGCCTTTGGTCTAGAAACCCCCCCTGGCAAGAAAGGGGGATCGGTTTTCCCGATAAAATGAAAAAGGGTTTCCCAGAAAAATGCAGCTCTTGTGAAATTTTGAAATGGGGTGAGAAATGAAAAAATAGGAAGAGAGAAAAGAGAGAGAATGTAGCCGTTTGAGGAAGGAAAACCGTTGAAGAGCGGTTACAGTAGTTTTGATTTTGTTTTTATTATTATTTTCTGTATATAAATAAATTATTATTTTTATGATAAATAACGATAAGTAACATACATTTATATTTATTTTAGACATGATACAATAGTTATAAAAAAGGTGAATTTTTATATTTAGAAGAAAATAAAAAGTAAAAAAGAAATAATGTTATGTAAATATAGAAAAGTTATGTATATTAAAGTGTATTTTTCTTTTATGAATAAACTATTTCTTTTTTATTCTTTAACTATTTATTTTTTTCTTCTACTTAACTGTTTTATTTATTTTTAATATGATCAAAAATTAATTGAGTCAGATACGTGGGTTTGATTAAAGAGGCGCTAAGAGTAAAAATACTGAATTTGGCATGTGTGGAAATTCCTAATGCAAAGATAATCCTCATTTAAAACATAAAAACAAGTTATAAAACTCAATTGTAAACAATAGTTCAGAGATTTAACTCAATGTTCAAGTAATTCATCGAATTGTGATTAATTTAACTAATATTAATAGTTTGTTACCAAAAGATAAATTTAATAATCGTATATATTATTCACGTTCATGTACATTTGTTTTTTATTAGCATTCTAGTTTAAAATGGATGTCACTTTTAGGTCAGAGAATTTATTGTTAAAATTTGTGAACTACATTTCTATTTATAATGAAGATACAAATTGAATAATATCTTTTATCTTTTCTAGATCTATTAATATAATATATATATACATATATTATTTTTAATTTTTTTAAATATATAATTGTTTCATTATGTTAAAATGTT